AGAGAGAGAGAGAGAGAGAGAAAGGAAGAAAGGAAAGAAAAGAAAGAGTTAAAGATGTAGCTCAGTGGTAAAGCACACCTGGATTCAAGCATTAGTACCCAGACAAACCAAACAAGCAAAAAGCAATGTTAATGTCTGTTTATTCCCAAACTTGTACAAGCATCGGTAAAATGCTAAAGCTATTCCCTTTAAAGTAGCAATGCTCCATTTTAATGTTTCCATTAGAACATAATAATGCTCATAATTGTTCAGGGTTTCTTTTGAGTCATCAAATGCAGCAAAAAATAAAAATAATCAAAAAACTAGAAAAGAATGGGTTGGGGGATATAGCTTGGTAGTGCGTTTACCTGGCATATACAAAGCCCTAGGTTAGACCTCCAGTATCGCAAAAAATCAAAATGAAACAAAACAAAACAAAAAAGTAGAAGAGACTTAGAATCATGTCATGAGCAAAAAGATTTTTATTAAAAATGCAAAGTTATTAACACTATTAACATGAAAGTAAGCTGCATATAAGGTCAAGAATCAACTAGAACTACAAAGCAGGAAACGTATTTCATTCACAATAGTAAGCTTAGAAATGAATTTAACAACACATCTGCTGGAAGAAAAATATAAAATTATATCTAAGAGCAAAGAACAAGATCTTAACAAGCGAGAAAAATAGACCATGTTATTATTTTAAGACAAGGTCTCACTAAGTTGCCCGAACTGGTCTCAAACTTGGTGATCCTTCTGTCTTAGCCTCCTGAGTTGCTGGGATAATAAGTGTGCTCTACTGCCCAGCTTCTACTGTGTTTTAATTGCTATTATTTCTGGTGGTAAAATATCAGTAATCTTGCTAAATGTTTTGAGTTAATTTGGGAAATACAGATTATTAATATAGAATATGTGATCTCCATCTGTTTTTATTCTTTTTTTTTAAATTTTCTCTAGCTTCATTGGATACCACTACCTGGGAATATCCAGATGTCTGCAGATATTATTTTGGTTCCTTTGGGCAGTGGTCAAGTCTCCTTTTCTCCTTGGTGTCTCTCATTGGAGCAATGATAGTTTATTGGGTGCTTATGTCTAATTTTCTTTTTAATACTGGAAAATTTATTTTTAGTAAGTATTGATATCATATACTTTAACACAATTACTTTCAAGTACAATTACTCTTGTAGTTCCCGCCTTAAACTCCAGGACTTGGGATATTACAAAATAAGAGGTACTGTAAGTATGTAATTCTGGAAAATTTATGATTCAGTTTGTTTTCCATGGTTATGATCTCAAATATAACGTGTATGTTCATTTCCAAACATTAATTTTTGAGTAAACAATGTTCCTTCAAAGTATCTAATTAATATAAAACATTGTCATAACTCAGTGACTATTTTGAGCATTGTTTAAAATTTTAGTATTGTAACAGAAAATTTTGTGAAAATCATTAATGTTTGTTGCTAAAGAATTTGATGTGCTGGGATTGTGGCTCTGGGGTAGAGCGCTCGCCTAACACATGCGAGGCCCTGGGTTCCATCCTCAGCGCCACATAAAAAAAAAAAAAAAGAGTAAATAAAATAAAGAATTTGACGTGTAGATTAGGAGAAACAAATTTCAGTTACTTATTTTAAAAATTTATTAGAATTTATCTGATAAATATATTATTTATATACTACAAAATTGTAATCTGCCCAAGTAAGCTACTTGAATTCTGAAAAGAGACCACATACTCTTTATAATGTTTTTTAAGTTGGATAGAGGAAGTTCATCTTATATTGAATAAGATTCCAAATTATTTTTGCCTAATAATTGATAGACCTAAAACTTAGTATGTTTAGCTGCCTTTAAGTAAACTATATATTTAAAATATGGATTTACATGAAAGCTAGTCTCTACAGTATTTAAGTGAGGGGTCAGGAATTCTATTTTTATTTTAAACAATAAAATTAGCATTTTTAATTAGATGTTTTATTGCCAAACATTTTTATTGTTGAAAAATTGTGAAACATTTCAATCTACAAAAAAATGCAGAAGTTAATATAAATACCATTGTACCCACTAACAAGCTTTAGTGTTTTAACATTTGCCATATTTGTATTAGTTCTCTATTCTTATGAAAAAATCAAATATTACAGATACAGTTGAAGCCACATGTGTATTCCCCTTCACAGTCCCATTTTCCTTCTTCCCTAAATTTGGTGTTTTTCACTCATGCATGTTTTTGTGTTTTTAGGGCATAACTATATGAACAACATGTAGTGTTGTCTTTCGTGTTTTTAATCTATTCAAGTTATTTTACAACTTGCTTTTTGTCATATTTATTAATACACAGTTCATTGTAACTGCTTTATCATATTTAATAATTTGAATATACCCCAACTTTCTTATCCATTCTCTTGATGAACATTTAATTTATTTTGCTAGTACAAGCAACACTTTATTAAACATCTCTATTTCTGTTTCCTTCATACATGTGGGAGTTTCTCCTGGCTTTGTAACTCTAAGACAGACTTCTAGAAATTGGAATATTCACTTTTTCACCTTGTTAGAAATTGCCAAATTATTCTTTATCCTGGTTTTATCAATTACACTGGTACCAGCAATTATGAAAGTCCCTCCTTCCGTGTTCTCCTCACAGGTATTATGACAGATTTTGTCACTCAAGATCTGTTCATAAGGGGTAACACTAGGCATCTTTTCTTAATTATATAAACAGTTAAGTAACTTATTCATGTTCTCCTATTTTCCTATTGGATTATTGGTCTCTTTCTTTTTTATGGAATGTTTTTATCCATCGAGTTGCAAATATCTTCTAGTTGGTGGCTTGGCTTTACTTTTAATTTCAAATCTATAATTTTTTCCACTAAGGTCTATGGACCCAACATTTTAAAATCAACTTGTCAAGGTCCAGAGAAATCCAATTAAATTTGATTGAAATTGCATTGAACTTTTTAGTCAGAATGCCCTATTGATGCCATTAAGGTACTGAGTTTAGAATTTGATTAGAGTTACACTAGATTTATAGGTGTGGAGAAAATTTACATAATTAGGATACTTAGTTTTCCTATCCATGACTGTGGCATGGCATAGTTCTCTGTTTATATAAGCTTTTAAAATATCTTCTAAATTTTTCTTGATAATGCTCTTGCATATCTTTTTTAAAGACTTTTTCCTTAGTACCTTAAATTTTTTTTGTAAATGTGGTTTTGATTTAATATACAACATGTGCACTTTTTGTTATAGAAAATTTCAAATAAAGGAAACAACAGTATAAGGATCCTACATATTCCTCTCCCCTATAGCTTATATAGCATATCTCAGATATACTATAAATCTGTTCATGAATTGTATGTATATCTGTACTTGATATATAAAAATAATAAGGTCTTTTTCCTCCCATTGGGAGCAATACCACATCCATTAAGAAAGCATGATCCACATTATACACATTTGCCACACCAGTTCAGCTATTATTTTATAGATATAGTTCTCTTTTTTAGAAAGAATTTATTCATTGAAATACTTGAATATTTGACTTACTATATTCAATAGATTAATGATTAAATGGATACATTCATATAACCCACACCTCCTTCAAGAAACAGAATTCTATTTTTATCTCTCCAGAAATAATGATATCTCTTAATCACATATTCAAATTGTTTGTTGATTATAAACCAATTTCTGTATGTTTGAATCTAGCAAACTTGCTGAACTCTTGTTAATTCTAATAATTTTGTACATGTACTTTTTTTTTTAACCTTTGTTTTTATTTATTTATTTTTTTATGTGGTGCTGAGGATCGAACTCAGGGCCCTGGATGTACTTTTTGATATTCTATTTAGATAGTCACATCATTCATAAAGAAAGTTCCATCCTATCTACTCATTATTTTAAATGGTTTGTATGTATGTGCATACATTTGTATTTGTATACATACACACATATAAATACATACAAACATATACATACATGTATTTGTGTAGATGTGTGTGTTTGTGTGCACCTCAATTTCACTCTTTCTTTATGGACACCAATCATTGACTTTAGGGCTTACCCTAAATCAGTATGACTTCATATTAATATACCATGGCTGTATATGCTTTTTTCTTTGATACTTCCTTTAATCTAACTCAGTGGTTCTTGGGAGTATAATAATTACTATACAGCCCTGGGTCCATAAAAGCACGTATTGTACTTTACAAAGAGCTTAAGTGATTTTTCCCAGTAAGTTTAGCTACATGATTTTTGTTTTCCCTTTTTGCATATTTTAGAACTTTATGTAAAATGTAACTGTAATTAACATGAATATAGAAAAATAAATTGTACACATTATCTACATTCCAGGGCTTTTACTACTATTAATTTAGCCTTGTAGGTAGATTTTTTTAAAAAATATTAAATTATATAAAAATTTTCAAAATGGGACTCTGAATCCAATATTATGATTCCTGTAAGTGAAGAAAGCTATAGAAGGTAAAACTGTTAATTACAAAGTTGTGGGGTTGGGGTTGTGGCTCAGCAGTAGAGCACTCGCCTCTCATGTGTGAGACCCTGGGTTCGATCCTCAGCACCACATAAAAATAAATAAACAAAATTAAAGATATTGTGCCCATGTATAACTAAAAAAATATTTAAGAAAAAAACAATAAAGTTGTTTTGGTTTAGTGTTCTAGATACTATAATACACATGGTAGATATTTTTAATATTTTTGTAAATAAAAAACTTTAGAGGGTAATAGATTCAGCATCTTTCATTCAGTGTTAAGCTACATTTTTGTCTTTAATTTTTAGATTTTATTCATCACATTAATGACACAGACACTACACTGAGAACCAATAATAGCAACCCTGGTAAGTAGTTTGGAATTTAATTTGTTACTTTATTCCTCTCTTTGTCCAAAAAGAATTTAAGCTAAAACCTATGAATTTATTTTAGGTAAATGAAAAGTGCAATATTATTATTATTATTATTATTATTATGTTAACAGAGCTGCTACTAAATTATTGGTAACTGATACATTTTTTTAAAAAACTCCAAAAAAGTTTATGTTGATATGAACTAGTCAATAGGTTGTGTTAATGTGAGCTGGAAAATATTTAGTTCATACATGTTATATATCCCTGATTCAAAAACCTGAAATCTAAAATGTTCCAAAATCAGATTGGTGGGGGGGCTGGGGATATAGCTCAATGCTAGAGTGCTTGCCTACATGCTTGTTGTGCTGAGTTCTATCCCCCAGCATCATCTAAAACAAAGCAAAAATTAGAGATGTGCAGCTGGTAAAATCAATGCAAATAATCCAAAATCTGAACCACTTTTGGTCCCAAGCATTTCAGATAAGGGATATGCAACCTGTATTATACAACACATAGTTAAGCTCAGAGTGTCTGTATTACCTGAATAATCAATATTTTCAAGAACCTACATCACTTCTTGGGTTAGGTGTCTAGAAGCATAGTTTTCAGTTTATTAACTTAATTTTAGGTGTGTAATATTTTAGTTACTAATCTATAGGTTACACAGACTTGTAATTAATAAAATAATTTCCTGATACTGAAAAGAGATTAATAAAATTTTCCTTTAATTTATTTACTAAAAATAAATTCTTGGGGCTGGCAGTGTAGCCCAACAGTAGAGCACATGTGAAAGATCCTAGGGTGAATCTTCAGCTCCACAAAAACATAAAAATTTTTAAAAATTAAAATAAACCCATTGTGGCCAGTGGGTTTAAACCAGGATAGAAATCATAGGGAAAATGAATGTAAACACGGTTGTAACCTTGTTGACAGTTTTGCTGTTTTTTTTTTTTTTTTTCAGTTTTGCTGTTAATCTTGAACATTACCTAAAGCTTTGTGAGTTAGGTTTCAGGAATGCTAAATTGATGCCATTTTTATGGAGGTACACATTGATCACTAATATTTATTAAGCCCAGTATGTGTCAGGAGCTGTTATAAGCACTGGGTTTAAAATAATGAACAGACAGTAGTCACACTTCTCATGAAGCATACATTCCAATGCTTGCTGTTCAGTGTCTTACTTTACCCCTTAATTAAGCCTGACTAACCTGTCAGTTGTCAACTATTGAAAATGAGTGAATAACCAGCTTTTATTCCTGAGAATAAAATAATTCCTTTGAATTGCTCTATTAAAATCTCTTGTACCTGTTCCTTACTCCAGAATTTTCAGAGAATCTTGTCTTAAAGGAGAAAATGATTTTGCTGTATAGCTATTCTAATACCATTGATGGAAGTAGCTTATTAATTATCTCATAGAATTTCTTCTGCAGCAGGGAGTAATTTCATCCATGAGGTCATAAATATTACAATTATGTTGATAATTTGGAAAATACCATCAGCAAAGTCAGTTTACTCTGCATAGTGATAACTTGTGTTAATATCAGCATGTCTTGATTTATCTTTTAATATTCATTTTGAAACAGTATGGTAAATAAAGTATGAAACAACCCATCTTAGTTAGTGCAAAATAATTGTAGCTCATATTTATTGAATATTTACTTGGCAAAGACATTGTTCTAAACATTTCACAACAACACTATAAGGTAAACTGTTAGCTCCACTTTGTTAATGTGGGATCCAAGACACAGAGAAGTTAATTTGCTTTCATAGCCTGTGCTCTTTACTACTACAGTTAGCAAAGACAATTTTTTTTCCAGAGCATAGAAGAAAAAGGTACATGTTAAGATGCTAAGAAAGAAAAAGGGGCTGGGGATATGGCTCAGTTGGTAGAGTGCTTGCCTCCTATGCACAAGGCCCTGGTTCAATCCCCAATATCACCAAGAAAAAAAAAAAAAAAAAGAGAGAAGATGCTAAGAAAAAAAAAAGAACAAGAGAAAAAATTAAATGTTTGGTTTTGTGGCATACCAAAAAATAGGTAGAGAATAAAATTCATAATAAAATAAATGTTCTTTCTCTTTGACTAGTGATGAATATGACAGTTGCTAAGTGATTTTCACTAGTATTAAGAATGCTGATTACTATCAAAAGCTCTTTTGTGAAATTAGAAACAATGAGAATGATTTGTACAGTATCTAATAATAGAAGAAATTGCCACCTGTAAATCAATATTAAGAAAAAATATGTTTGCTAGACATAGTGCTATATGCCTGTAATCCCAATGACTAGGAAAGCTAAGGCAGGAGGATTGCAAATGTGAGGCCAGCCTAGGCAATTTAGGGAGATGCTATCTCAAAATAAAAATTAAAAAGATCTGGGGATGTAGCTCAGTGATAGAGCATCTCTAGGTTCTATCCCAGTACCACCAAAAACAAACAAACAATATGTGTGTGTGTGTGTGTGTATGCATGTGTATGTGCATAATACACACATATGTGCACTTTACTAATTTTCTAGTAATGTCAGCCAGCTGTTGGGCTTCTATCAAGGGTGATAAACTTCCAGAATTATTTTGGATTGCTAAAATTCAAGGCTGTTAAATTTTCACCAATGATTAGGTTTGGGAAGTACCATGGTAGTTATTATTGTAGAAATGTCTGCTTTTTATTCCAAACCTATATATTCTATTTGTATTAAAAGAAACCTACCCTTTGTCCTTTAATGAGTTAATAGTACAACAGTTAACCCTGAATGACATTTTTTGTGTTATTGAACAAATAGGACTGAATGCCATTTAGTCCAATATTTTCTCTCTCGAATTGGAACCAAGGGATATTTGATGGGATATTTTATAGTTTTCAACAGAAATTAAGAATGTACCTCAAAATTTTATAAGATTCCCTCATTTTTAATTCATTTTTAGATGAAAAATTCCTAATGTGACTAAATATATTTCTACATTTTTGTCATAGAGGAGAAGCTTAGTGTTTAGTAAAAGTTGAGCAAATATCAGTCTGTGGGGATGGACATTTCTACTTTCATGGTCTTCTCTAATATGGTGTTTTACTGTTGCAGTGATTTGTCCAAATGCTGGGAGTGGTGACCATCCTGACAATGGCTCTATGATTTTCCGTGCCAATGACACAGAAGTCCAACAGTTTGAAAAGTGGTGGAATAAGTCCAAGACCGTGCCGTTTTACCTCATAGGGCTTCTCCTGCCACTGCTCAATTTTAAATCTCCTTCATTTTTTTCAAAATTTAATATCCTAGGTAAGACATGATACTGTATTGTGGAAATTCTGTGTAGTAGAATACATGTTAGATTCTGTGAAAATATGGTTCTGGGGAGAAAGTTACCTGCTAGGCCTATTCATCTATGTTGAATTTGTTCATATAGTGCTCTGCATTTTGTTGTGTTTTTTTGGCACAGAGAAAAATGTAGATGATCATTTCAAGTCCTTTTTTGTTCTTTGGTGTTTTGAGATATAAGTTATTTTGTTTCCCATTCTAACCTTACTAGATAACTAGTACAACTAGAGGAGATTGACTAAAATTTCAGGAGGAGAGATCAAAATGGATATTATAGAAATCCTCAACTTTAAGGTTTGGAAACATTAGAACTTATTACAGGACGTTATGGAATGTTTTTTTCCTGTCATTTCCATTTAAGAGTATTGCATAGAATTATCATTTGAACTCAGAATATCATTATCTAGCTCGAGCTTCTAAGGTTTATTCTGTTTTTGCTCTCTTCCTCAGTGCATTTTCTTTCTTAGAATACTATTATTTCCTTAAAGTAACAGACCTCTTTCAGTGATTTCTTTTTCACTAAAGCAATGTTTCAACCTTATTTTCGATCCACAGGGAAAGCTCAAATCTGGTTAACTAGAGAAAATGTAAGGATGTCATTCATAAAGAATTGATAGGCCCAAGTAGACTGTAGGATTTTATCTCCCCCTGTGTATCTTATCCCCTGGTAGGCAGTATAGCATAAAATAATCAGATTATCCATCACATCAAGGAACTTGATGGTGGAAACCCAAAATGTAGCTGGGTTTCCAGAAGATGAAAAGAGGAGGTTAAGATACATTTCTCTGCTTTTCTGCCTTAGAATCGAATTCACTATAAGCTACTTTACACGCATGACACAGAAAATAATAGATTTGTGGTTATATAAGCTTTGGCCTCTTGTTTTCATCCTTTCTGAATCAGCTAATCTCTAAACCCACAGTAGAGCTTATATGGCTCATTTGTGGTTTCCTGATTTGCTTGCTGACTTTCCAGTGGAACAAATCTTTTGAAAGCATAGAAACTTGTGGAAGGATTTGCTCATTTCGGCAAAACAATCACCAGACTTCTAACCAGGTTGAAGGATATAAAGCTTTTGTTCTTTTCCTTGGTACTTTGCCTTTATTTTACAACTAAACCTTCTTTAGAGAATTTAGCATCTAAGGATATTCCTAAACTTCCTGACTATGCTCTATAATGACTGGACTTAACTTCCTCAAAAGAAATAATCCTCTGACTTCTGCTCTGCTAAAACATTGTGACTGCCCACTCCACCTTGTATATAACACCTGGGAAAGGAATCTGGAATTTTTTCAAGAACAAACAGCACTAATCATTCAGCACTCATGTAAATATTAGATCAGATTGTTTATGGATTGTTTGACTTTCTCAAATGTTTATGATCTACATTTATTACTTTCTTTCCTTTCTTATCATTTCACATTAATTTTTATGACAGACTTTTTCAGCCTATTGACTGTCACTAGCATCAATACAAAGAATAAAAGTCATAGTTTCATGTTGTTGTTTTTTTCTCCTGTGTAACCTTACAGTTTTGTAATGGACCCTTTGTTTGTGTCTTCCATCAAACTCAGCTCATAAGTAAATTAAGCATTTTGCATTTAGCAATATGTGAGCTACCTTCATCCAGTTCTTCTTAGGCTTACTACTTAAGTTTTTGTTTTCTGGTAACTCATATAACTTATTTCTATTCTTTAGGTCCCAGTTTTATTTTAGTAGAGATAATCAATGAAGGTAACAATTTTTCACACTTTGGCAAGAATAAGGAAACAAGGTTTGATTTTTAAAAAGTCTGTAAAGCACACAAAGAGAATAGTTGAACACAGTGGCGTACACCTGTAATTCCAGCAGTTAGGGAGGCTGAGGCAGGAAATCACAGGTTCAAGGCCAGCCTCAGCAATTTAGTGAGGCCCTGTCTCAAAAAACAAAAAGGGCTGGGGAGAAGTTTAGTAGTAAAGCACTCCTAGATTCAACCCCCCCCAAAAAAAACACACACACATACACATATAAAAATGATAAACAGTTTCTGGATTTTTTTTTTTTCTTGCAGGCACAGTATCTGTTCTCTATTTGATTTTTCTTGTTACCTTGAAAGCTATTCGCTTGGGATTTCATTTGGAATTTCACTGGTTTATGCCAACAGAATTTTTTGTACCAGGTGAGTTGTTTTGGCAAAATAACATACTAATAAATTATAATAATGTGATCTGTAAGTTAAATTATTATTATATGCTATTTTAAACCAAATAGTGTTTTCTTTTATATTGAACACTTAATGCTAGTAAGCTTAAAATTGGACCACAATTGGGATTTCTTACAGTTAGGGATAACCAGGGCCCTTTGTCTTTTCCACTTGATTCGTTTATGTTACAATGCAGTTGGAAATTTAATAATTCTCTAGGCTTTTCTAAGAAATATACCCCTAGAATTTCAAAGACTTAGAACATGGTCAGTGATATATATGGATGATACTTCTTATTAAAACAATGTTCCCCTTATGGGTTTTACTGTTTCTCAGGCTAAAATTGTGATAATTTAATGTTTGCCTCTCCTTGCCCCTTTCCTTCCTCATGCTTATAGCTTGGTAATTTCCTCTTTACCCAAATATAGAATATTTTGGACATGAGGGGCTGGAGATATAGCTTAGTTGGTAGAATGCTTGCCTCACATGCTGGGCTCAAATCCCCAGCACCACCAAAAAAAAAAAAAAAAAAAAAAAGAATATTTTGGACATGAGAAAAGTACTGTGAAACAATAAATAAATAATGCTAAATGAGGAGACAGATTAGAAAATGGAAGTAGCAATTAGACAAATGCCTTGAAAACTAATAATAAGAAAATAGTAAATAATTTTGTTGGTGGTGTAAAAAGACCACTTTTCATTCTTAAGTCATTGATTTAGGCAGTCAAGAATTCTAGTATCTACTCAGTATCTTGGATTATCTTCCAAAATATGTAATTGCAGTTCTCTACCACCCCATTTCTTCCCATTGTTAGTACATTCCTGAGTTTTTCAGGTGCATGGAGATGCTATTCATTGGATATTGTAGAGTCCAATTACTGTGGCTTCTTGTGTTCAGAATATTTGATTATGTTAGCTTTGATTCTTCATTTTTATTCGAAGCCCATAAAGACTTAGAAGTCAGTGTAGATTCAGGATAAAGGAAGTACTGGGACATAAAAGGCACTGTTCTCTCCAAGATTATATTCAAAGTTGGATACTGATGAAAATGTCAATTTAAAGCTAGTTTTTTCATTGATTGATTAAAAAGTCTAGGATATTATTTTCTAAAATTAGGTCTACTGTGATTTGTAAAACCTCTTAATGATAAAAGTTTCTGCTAATGATAGAAGATTAGAAATAGAGATAAAGAAAGGGAAAAGATAAATATATAGAAAACACAAAAAACATTTGAATAGATACTAGGTCATTTATTTCACATGACTTCATTTAAAAATGACATAAAGGAAGAGTCATAAAACTAAAAAAAGTTTGTATTGATATTTATGATCCTAAAATTATTTTATTTGTCATTAAGAAATTTCTCAAGAATGAAAATATGCTGTAAACCTTTTTCAGTAGAGACTAATTGAAAACCAGAAATTGAAATGAGGCATGGTGGTACACCACTTACTTGAGAAGCTGAGGCCGGAAAGATCACAAGTTTGAGGCCCACCTGAGCAACTTAACAAGAGCCTGCCTCAAAATTAGATAAAAAGTGTAAATAAAATAAAAAGAAGGTAGCTTTTTGGTAGACCACTTGCCTACCATTTACTGGACTCTGGGTTCAATCCACCAAAGAAAGACTAGTGAAGATAAAATCTTTCCTCAGATAAACTTATAGTTCTTGGTGAATCTTATATACTCTTTCTTCCAAAAATTTACTCTTCAAGTCGTGTAGATGCCATCATCACTCTTCCTTCCAAGTAATTGGGGGAAATGAGGATAAGAAAAACCCATGTAAACTTTTTTCCTCCCTTTCTTCCCTACTGAAGGACTTTACCTTTAAAATTATCCCTTTTTTCTCTGAAATCATGTATCAATTTTTCCTCTTTTGAGTTATTTCTACCAATATGTAAAATAATCTCCAATCTAAAAAGAAAAAAAAATTATGTGGTCCCATGATTCCCTCTAGCTGTTGCCTCCCTTTGAAGAAACAATTTGGAAGACTTACATATGCTCACTCTCTCTAAGTTCTCCTTCCATTTTGCCTTGAACTCTCTTATTTATTTATATGTATATATATATAAGTTTTTTAAATTCTTTATTTGTTTTAATTAGTTATATATGACAGTAGAGTGCACTTATATACTTTGATATATCATACATAGATGGGATATAATTTCTCATTTTTCTGAGTGTACATATTGTAGAATCACATTGGTCATGCAGTCACATACATACATAAAGTAATAAAGTCTGTTTCATTCTACTATCTTTCTTATCCCCACATCTCCTGCCTTCCCCTCTTTTCACTTCCCTCTACCTAATCTAAGGTAACACTATTCTTCTTCTTCTTCTTTTTTTTTTTTGCATTACAATTCTTAATACACATATATACCACAATTTTTGTAGGCTTTTGCCCTAGACATTCCATGATAACCAGTGATTTTCACGATTCTTATTCGTGTTTGGTTCCATCTTGGAACACCTTCTTTACTTCATTTCTAAAGCCTCATTCTTTCTTGACTCTTCTTTGTAACTTGGCTGCTTCTCAAATGTCTGACCTCTAATTGTAAGTCATCCAAGGTTTAGTACTCATATCTCTTTTCTCTTTACCCTTATTCCCTAAGTAATGTCATATAGTTACCTGCCTTTGTATATTATCCATATGGTGACTTGACTAGTCCCAATTGTATGTCTCTAGCCTAGATTCTCCACTGAAGTCCATAAGCATACATCTACTTCCCCCTTCTGCATCTCCGTATAGATGTCTTAAACTTAAATTGACAAAAATCAAATATGTAAAAAACTTCAACATCCACATGGCCCCACCCACCCACCTGTTTAAACCTACTGTTCTCCTATTGTTTTTTTCTCTTAAAAACAATAGCTCAGTTTTCCAGTTACTCAAGCCAAAACTTTTCAGTCTTTGTTCTTTCTTCACTACCATCCCATATCTAATCCATCTGCAAAGTGTGTCTATTTTACTTTGGGAAAAAAATGAGAATCTGAATACTTCTTACCGTTTCTATCAGAAAGAACTATGTCAAGATACTAATCTCACCTGGATTATTACAGTGGTCTCTTAGTTAATCTTGTTATCTCTGCTGTGTCTTCCTGACCACAATCTGTTCTACATTAGCAGCTAGAATGATGTTTTCTTGTTGTTTTGTTGTGGTACTAGTTTGGTATCACTGAACTACATCCCAAGCCCCTTTTTTATACAATGAAAACTACAGAACCCTAAAGAGAGAAATAGAAGAAGATCTTAGAAGATGGAAAAATGTACCCTGTTCATGGATAGGCAGAATTAACATCATCAAAATGGCGATATTACCAAAAGTTCTCTATAGGTTTAATGCAATGCCAATCAA